AAGGCTTGCTTTATTCCTACAGTTCCCAGGCTCCCTGAAGCTCTGGCAATCTCTGGCCTGTTTCAGAAGCAGGACCTACTGCCCTCATTTTCTCCTCAAGCAGTGGTTAGAGATGATTTTTCTGGAGGGCATCCTGGTATATCTAGAGAGCAGAAAAAAACGTTGATTCTGTTTGTATTGGGTTGCTTGTCAAGAAGAAAAAATTCAGTTTTATTTTTCTTATGCTATCATTTAGTGGTTTGGCCTGGCATCTGTACTATGTAAGCTTTATGAACCATTTGGCAATACCAGATAATTTATATAAGATATAAGGTGAATATTTTGCCTTCTTTGCATAATGGGGCAGTCGGGAACATGCCCCTTGCAAATATGAGGTTAAGTCCAACCTTTTCTTAATGCAGGTCACTGTTGAGCTCCTGTCATACCAGGTAAATTACTCACCAGATTGTTTACTAAGGAAACCTTAAATACGTAAAAGCTTTGAAAGTGTGGGATTTGACTTGATTCAATCCTTTTTCTGCACAGAACTGTGGACATTGTATACGAAGTTTGTTTTTTTGGGGTTTGTTTTTTTTTTTATGCGGTACTGGCAGGAATCTCGTTACAGGCTTTAATACTTTCATTGGCAGTGTCTGCCTTTGAGGTAATTGCATTGAATGGGCCTGTTTGGTCAAGTTATGCCAGGCTGATAGTTTCATCTGAGTTGTTCTTGTCTGGTAACAGTGTAGTGACAATACTCTGCTAAATTTGTGCTTGCTGCCATGACCTTGAGTTTTTTACAGCATCAGTCTACATGGCAACGATGCTAGAAGCCTGCGTAGATACTAAAGGTACACGTTTCTGTAAATGGAGTATTGGCCATTCACACAAGGTGTGTTCTGGAAATAACATATCCCCGAAATGAAAGACTTCCAGGGTTTTCTGTAACAGTGTGCTAAAGTCCGGTGACCACCATCAGGCTGTGCATCTTCCTAGCAGGAAGGAAAGTCAAGGCTGTACTGTGTATGTCCAGAAGCCAAGCACGTTTCAGAATGGGCATGCTGCCTTAATGAGGACAGGAAAATCTGTCACCCGAGAAAGCCAAACAGGGATGTATCTGTGTAAATGGTTCTACTGGGGCGAATAGTATCCCTACCTAGAGTCATTTGATTGACCTCTGTCGCTATTGCCATGAGTCTGGTTAGAGCAGTGACTCAGAAATGGCCCTTTATGCTGACATCTCAGGTACGTCCAGTCTTGAGAGCAGCTTAGTGGAAAAACTTGATTGAAAAGGTAATGTTAAGCTGTGTAATGTCCCAGTGGGTATTAGAGTGCTTATTTGATTGGTTTTGACTGCCACAAATTTGAGCAGCTTGTCCACAGTCAGCAAATGGGTTTATATTAGATACATGTTGGGTTACGTGTGCTCGAAGGAAGATTGTTCTTCAGATTCACTGATTTGATTTTTATGACTTGGGACAAATGTTAAGTTCTGTGAATTATAGTTATTGCCACGTGTCCTAAATCCTGTACTTCACTCTAGTGAACTTGTTATTAAATGCTGGCATACCAATGGCCCATTCTCTCTATTGAGGTGTTTTAGAGCAGCCATATAGTTTTATATGTTTGCTGATTATGGGCACCCTCAGTAGGAGTTGGAGCTTGTTCAGTATTGGTGGTCATGCTTTGATTCTATGGAAGCCTTGAAGTTTTCCACTCTTAAGTCTTTCATTGAAATAGATTAATTTTTTTTCCAGCCAGTGGATTTGACATGACTTACTTTGAAACCACCTCAGAATTTTATTTACAAAGTTGGAAATCCAGTGCGGTTAGTACGTGTGAAAAGAAACATAGCCTGCAGGACTTCTTTCATAGAAGCTGTCTGTATAGGAATGTTTGTCTTTGAGGACTAGAATGCCCAACATGTATGTGTGTTCCTTCAAGAGTTACTCGCTCCTGGAAAATAAATCCCTTAAAAACCCATGAGACAGTGCCTCACTGCCAAAAAGTATAAAATGATGCTATAAGATGATGAAAGATTAAAAAGGTAAAATTTTAAGGAATCCTTTATGTACTCTGTCTGGGAAGTAGGCACTTCGCATAGAAATCTCTTAATTTTAGTTTTTTAAAAAAAAAAAAAACGGTGGTGCTGCACAGTTACCAAGTTGATCAATATTATGAAATAGAAGATAGCTGCATCCTTTTCTTTTCAACAGCTTGCAGTTCAAATCCTGTCATCAGTCTACATCATCTGAATCTTTCCTTCTTGCCTTTTTCCTCTCCTTTCTGTAGAAGAGGCTTCTAAATGTTTTGAGGCATAACCCTGTTGCAATCTTTTTTTCCTCTACCATCTTCATCATTTATTGTCATCTTTTTTTCTCCTCGGGTGAGCCTTGCAGCTGCATAGTTTTAATCTTAAATGTGTTCAGTGCCTTTTCCCACTAATAATTGCTTCTGTAGATTTTCCTTCTCCCTCATTTCCCCCAGTTTGGTTCAGTCATGGCAGAGTGGACAGTAGGTCCTCACCACTCCTGTCTGAAAGCCATTCCTTGATACCAGCGTCTTTGGTTTCCTTCCCTAATGCTATTTTGCAGTTGTTGAGTTTCCAGATGTTCACCCCCTGTACCTTCCTTTGTCCACCACGTTTTAAGGCTTCCGTACCACCCTCCTCATCTTTGACACGTCCAGTGCTTTGAGTACTCATTTTCAAAATCTTTGTTCGGCAAACTTTTGATGATTGCTTTTGGAGTGTCCTAGTTACTCGTTGTTTTTTCATTACTTTTCTTCATGCAAGATTCTTTCCTGTATTTCTTCAGAGAGGTAATCTCTGACTTCCACTGGTTCAGTGTGTCTTCATGCAGGTTATTCACCCTCCTGTATGTTTGGTGTGTTATTTGGTGTCTCAGCAAGATGCCATAGAGAAAGGGAAAGTGAATGTGGGGTAAATTAAAGTCACTTCTTCCCAGGTCATCCTGCTCTGGTGTTACCATTCTCTGCTAGGATGCTAAAAATTATCATTTCAGCTGTCATTCTTTCATCATCTTTGTTTTATATGCTTGGGCCATCTCTAAATCCTGCTCTACTTTCTCTGGGCACTCGAAAACGTAGAAAAACTCTCTCAAGATCCTCTGTTATTTTCGGTACCCTTACCTCTGGCTTCCTGATAGCCACGCTTCTCCAATTCAGTCAGAATGAAGGGAAGATGAAATTTAATGTCCTTTTATGTATATATGTATATGTTTATATATATATGTATATATGTTTAAAGAGGGGAAAGAGGAGAACTTTCTCCATGAAAAAGCCCACTTGCTGTATTGTCAGTCCTGTCCTGTCACACAGAAATGAGCTGATGAACATGTTATTTACAGAGAAACAGTGACTTTTAGAAGTGGTGTTCCAGGATTTCTATCTGCATTTATTGGCCCTTCAACCCAAATATGAGCTGCTTTTCTCATGCCTCTTCCTCTTTGCCCTTCTTCTTGAATTTAAAAAAAAAAAAAAAAAGGCTGGAAGAATTGCAGTAGGACTTGAAATCACTAAAAGAAACTTCAACTGGATGATATAAAGAAGGATTGTCTCCTTCTCGGTTCTCCTTCAGAGGTTTCATTTGGACGGCTCACCTCTGCTTGCAACTTGAGATCCTGGTCCTTATGCTGACCCCAAGAAATGGGTGAGAAGTCCCGTCATGCTGCTGGTGCCTCCCCAGAGGAGTGCCTCCACCGTATGGCAGCTCTGTGTGCATGTGAGACCCATCACTAGCGTAGGAGCAACGCTGAAGAGTGGACTTTGGAGTGCCTGCTTTTCCTTCTGAGCTTTACCCAGTGAATTCCTACATACAGCAATTGAGATGAGACCCAGTCACATGTTACGTGTCATGGGAGAATCCTTCTCCTCAGGCACCCTGCAAATACCCTCTTAACTTCTTTCCTCAGTTCTTTTAGGAAACTGGACTGCTTTAAAGATGTTCTTTTACCCTTTTGTGTGCATCACAGACCTTTATTCCCCCTTCATAAGTTACGTGTGAGTTGTTGTCCAGACCCTTTACCCACTGCCTCTCTTCTGGTGAGCTTTTTGTCAACAGCATGCGGAATTTTCCAACTTTGCCCTGCCCCTGTCACCCATCAGCATATACAGTATATCCTCAAAGGGTATACTTGTATCTGATAGGAAAAAAAATATCTCCTTTTGTCTTCCCAGACTATTTCCGCATCCTTTGTAATGATGTTTTTGGTACTTATTGATGTTACATGTAATAATAAAAACAATAATAATTTAAAAAAATCAAGATTTTGTTCTTAATCACCTTTGGTCTTTTCCATTCTGTCTGTTTTCCTCACTTTCCTGCTATTAATCACTTGTTACCTCAACTCATTAATTGTTTTATAGGCTGAGTGACTGCTTTATTTCTTACAAGACTATGATGTAACTTTGTATTTTTGGCTACTTTGGATAAAAGGGAATGTCTTCCTTTAAGGTTTTGTATCCCCATACCGATGGCTTCAGCAAATGTGTTGGGAACAATCTGTCACCATAGTAGCCATTTTACAACATTTAATTATTTTTGTTTTCTTGATTAGCTCTCAGTGAACTGAGGTCTCCAGGCTAGGATTAAGTCCAGCTATGCAGTTCTATGGCACTAGGTATTTTTTCTTAGGTTTGAGGCAGAATTTGGTTTAGCAATTTTGAAGTAGAAAAAAAGAATTTAGACTTTCCCCAATGTTTTGCTTACTCTCTTACACTAGAAAAACAAATGAAATTGTCTATATCCAGTTAAGGCTATATTGTGTAGAATGAAAATGTGCCTGCCACATCAACAGAACCATCTAAGTTTTCAAAAAATAATGGCAGGGAAAATATTTAAGGCCTTGGAATAGAAATGTGTGGAAAAGTGGCAGTAGGGCAGTCCCGCTGTGTTCCTGAGCCTAGGCTGCTGTTCTTGCATATCAGGACTAAATAAGATACAGCTGTGGATTGTAATGTCTTGAAAGCAGTGTATCACTGTTTAACTTTAATCCTTGCAGACCAGTAATGGAGGAGGGAGTTTAAGTGATTATTCCTCCTCTGTCCCATCAACTCCAAGCACCAGCCAGAAGGAGCTACGGATTGATGTTCCTCCCACTGCCAACACACCAACTCCTGTCCGTAAACAGTCCAAGCGCCGATCCAACCTCTTCACGGTGAGTGAGCCAAGGAAGAGACTATTGCTGTATTTTACATAGTGCTCTGTGGTGATGGCCTGAACTTCAACCCTGTTGAGTTGAGCTGGTCTAATCCAGACAGGAGTGTTGAGATGGATCTGTAGGCTTGAAAACAAAAACATCTTAGAATTACCATGGGGCGGTTCTGTTTGAGGACTTAAACAGAAACGAAATACAGTGAAGTGATCCTATTGGGAAATGCAGTGAAACAAGTGAATCCACAGTTGAATTCTGGAGCCTTTGACTTTAATTCTCAGACCTGTGTAGACTCCCTGGTTTGGCAGTCATCAAAGAGAAAGCTGGGCCTCTGCTCCCCAGTCCTGCCCGTACACTCAATGCTGCTGACTCAGGGCTCCCGTGTGAGGTCTCCTGTGTTTGTAGAGAGGTCTCAGGGTTTATCATGGGAATACCATGCAGTGCTGCAAAACAACTACCCCATGCTACTTTTATTACTATACAGTCTCAACTCACTTTTCCAGGGTTAAGAGAGATGATGGAGATTAAAGTGACTTCTTTTCTTCCCAAACCATCTGTTTTTTGCTTCATTGAGAGGCAAAAAAAATGTACTAAATAGAAAGCTTGACTGGTCCAATGTGATAGGTCTTTGTTATGCATAAGTAGTTTGGGAGATGATAAGCCTTGAGTGATGATTTCCTTAGTTTAGCAGTCTTGCTGAAAGCTTTGGGATTGCATTGCGTGCATAATTGTGGTTTTGTAAGCAGTTTTTTGACACTTAACATGCTTTATAGCAAGCACAGAATCCCTGTGGGCTCACACGTAAGTCCCTTGGTGATTGTAGATACACATTAGCTGCTTTTAGAAAGACACGACTTCCCTGTCATCATAAAGAGTTTATGGTTTTTTATTCCAAAGGTGATGTCATGTTCACTTCCCAAAACTAGCTTGCTCCTTGGTCGTATCCAGGGAACCGCATACAAAAACGGTAAAACCATTTCCTTGTACTCTAAACAAAATCTGACCTCTTGGCCTGTAGCGAGTAGAAAGTTTTGTCACTGTTTCAGAGCTCTGACAGCACAGAGTCCCAGGGATGGTATTTCATGTGTCTATCCCAATGGTGATATTTTAATTTAAAATGAGATCTTCAAACTCCTACAAAGGAATGAAAATCATGCATTTTTGTTTAGGTGCAAATGTCTAGGTGCAAAACAATAAAATGTGCAAAAATGAGTGGCATGTGAAAAATTGTCCAATTTTTACGCTGATATTTTATAGCAATTGTCTGGATTTCCTCCCGTTGGTGGGAATACTCACTGCTGTTCGGACGTACTCAGGAGTTACCAACTCCACTAGATGTCAGTGTCAGCCCAGAAACTGCCAGCAGAGTAATACCTCTGGAAATAGAGTTGAGACGATACAGCATCCCTCAAAAGCATTCGCCGTCCATTTCTGGTCTGAAGGATGCATAAAATGCTATAAGGGCTGTATAGATGTTGTTGACATCTGGGAAACTGAGGATGTTTTAAACTGGAGTTAAGTGTAAATTTGAGAAAGTGAATAGAGAAAGATATACCCATCTACAATTGTGGAAAAGGTTTGAGAAGAACGTTAAGTCAGCTGCATTTGCTATAAACAAATAGACTAAAGCTCTCATTTGTGATCATGAATAACATAGTGAGAACCAAATTTACTAATATGAGAGGATGTTGATAGTTGTCTTAATGTCTAACACCTGGGGGAAGATTGGGGGGAAAACAAGTCCTATGGAAAAAAAATAAATATAATTTTACTTTTCAGAATTAGTCCTGTCTTTTAAGATCTGGGCATATTGAATGTTGTATAATGAGTTGCCCTGTAATCCACGTCCTGAACTATTTAACACTGACCCTGCTGTAACCCAGGTTTCATGCCATATCAGCCAAGTTATAACCTGGAATTGTTTAATTGAATAAATAGATTGAATAAATAGACAGACCAGTATTTTCTGTCTAGTTATGAACAGAGTGCGTAATCGAAATATTTTATTGTTTAGCTTTGGGTTTCTTGCTGTGCTTCTTTCCTAGCCTGTTACTTGCTTATGCCTGTATCGCTTGCAGAATCAAATATATTTCTGTTTAATTGCAAATTACCCCTTGTTATCTAGCATAGGTAATATGTTTAGTTTCCTACATGAAGATCTTTTAGTGTTGGAAGAAAATTGGGTTAAGTAGAAAACAGATATGATTTTTCTTAAATTGATAACAGCTTTTGAGTTGGAATAGGGTTTAGAATTTTAAGCATGTTCATGTTTAAGTGCATTAAATGCAGCATCTGATTTTTTTTCAGTTTGAATATTAGTATTTGCTGTAAAGCTATTGTTGCAATAGCTGACTTTCTACTTAGGTGATAAAATAGATCAAATATTAGCAGAAGGGTAAAGGTCCTTTGTTTTGTGCAGTGTATTAACAGGGACAACTAAATAATAGCATATAGCGCAGGTGGGGATTTAAAGTGCATGTGAGGTCCATTTCAGTACTGATTTTAACTATATGTCCAGTCCCATGTGGGATGAATGAACTTCTAGTACAGTGAGATGCATTTCCTTTCCCATATTCAATATTACTTCTTGCTTCTTTGCAGAATTGCAAGCAAGACTTTTTTAAAAGTTAAAATGAACTCTCTGTCTCAGTATCTAATAGTAGAGATCAGTATTCTTACTTTTGGAGCTCTCTGGACTGCTGATAGTGGATTCTGGTTGTGCCCTAACTCAGGTGCTGTATCCCTCTGGGATTAAATCTTATTTCACAGACCTAACTTGGGTGAGGTTTTATGTTGACATAAGTCTGCGTATGACTTCCAATGCAAAGGGGAAATGAGTCAAATGATATTCATGCAGGTGTGTTAATTTTTTTGGACTTTTTCTGGTTTGCTTGAATAAAGTTTTAAATAAAATGACTTAATGTGTAGATGTGACGTCAGAAAAAGTCCTAGTAAATGTTGATCCAGTATGGTTTAGAGTCTATTTTATTCGCACTATAGGATGTAAGATACATTGCGTGTGTCATAGGTACAAAAGCATAAAAGATCAGAATATATCTTTATTTCACTGCACGATTTGTCTTTATAAATAGCGGAGCCTGCTAAGATTCTCCACTTGAAAATTTTCTGTATTCTGTGATTACAAGCAGCTAGAATAGAATTTACCTAACAGAAATTCCTATGTTTCTATACTTAGGGCGTTTGATAATATTTTGCATATAGATATTTCCCTTCTATGTGCAGTGTATTATTTCCAGATGCAGTTACTTTTATGGAATGGAAGATGTGATGATTTAAAAATAAAAATGAAAAATAGTGCATAGATATTCAGCTTGCTTTTCAGAAGCAGGATCCTTTCTTTAAAAAAGTCAAATAAAAAAGAAACATTCAAGTTGACAACTTCCCTCCCAAGGATTTGGCTACCTTCACTGAGTTTCTTTAAAATGTCACTTACGGGCGCTTTGCGCCATTGAAGCATTGTTTCGCCTTGTATTATTGGGAAGTGGCACTTTCAGATTCAGAAATCTGTCTTGAAGGACAAGGAACAATAGTTATCCTGAACATTGGATTTCATCCCTCCCACTTGTTTTGCTTTCTTTCATTTATTCTTTGTTTAATTCCCCAGCACGTCATTCCATTGCCCCGAACCATAGTAACTAGTGACAGGAGCCCGCTCCCGGCGGAGCGGGGAAAGCAGCACGGGATCCCTGCTGGGTAAATGTGTTGCTTAGAATGGTGTTACTTGAAGCCCTCCTCCCTGGGTTTTCTCCCTCCCCTTCCCTCCTCTCGCCCCTGAAGGCAACTGCTTTGGGGATTTTTTTTCTTCCTTCCACCCCTTCGTATAATATGGAAAATGGGTATTAGCTATCCGCGATCCTAATCGTTCTCCTAATTTCAGTGTCTTTCAAACACCTCTTTCTGCTGTAAATGAAAAGTGGGATCTTGTGTCGCTCTGGTTTTCATTAACTTCCCATTGTGGTACTGGACATCGCAAATGTATTCGTTTCATATATCATCTCTGATTTGAAAAAGCACATGAAAATGTTTTCCCATTTTCGATATTGTGTGAGTAATGTTCCTATTGAAAAGTAATGGAGTGAAGTTGTCACTTGTCAGTTCAGTTATTAAGGAGGATGACTCTCGGGTCTTCTTTTTGTAATAAAATAAATCTGTCACAATCATTATGCTCATGCGTTCTTTCATAATAATGGACTGGAATCTGAATAACTTCTTAAAATTACTATATAACTTCATAAAGTCATGAAATGAGCACTGTGAGCTTACTCCTAGGGCAGTTCTAACGTTATAGAAAGCCAAGATCAGGCAATTCAAGTTTTAAACATTGGTTAAATTTTACTCATGCTGATTTTTCTTCATTGTGTTCAGATAACTTTTTTCAGTATCAATTGCTACCTTTTCATGTAATTCCAACTTTATAACCATCCAAAAGTAGAAAAAAATAGAAAGTTAAAGTCAGTATGATCAAAACCAGCATCATAAAATTGCATTTCTAAGTAGTTGATAACAATTACAAAAACCATACAGATGTAAGTTAAACGTATGCATGTATATATCAGATTTTTTTAATGAGAAGCTGGAACCTTCACTCCTCTTTGGAGCTACTATTGGAGACTTCAGAAACTTGTCCTCTGATCTGCTGGGTCTTCAGGCAGTGAAACTGTAACTCTTTAAACCCAAATGCCATTTCAAAGAAGTGGATGGCTGAAAATTACAGGTGGTATTTTAGTATTCAGATTTTGGGGTAGTTGTGTACTTTTGTAGGCTCTAACCCGCACCCTTTGAGTCTATATTTATGTGTCAAAATACTTTTTTTTAATTGCTTTAAAAAAGGAAAAAAGAAAGCATCCTCTGTGTGAACTGCTACATTTAATGGAGCACAAACTTTCTTTTTGCTCTGCAGTCTCGGAAAGGGAGTGACCCAGACAAAGAGAAGAAGGTCCTGGAGAGCAGAACAGATAGCATTGGAAGCGGTCGCGCAATCCCAATTAAACAGGTAATGCCGAAAAAATTTTTTTTTTTTTTTTTGCTTTCCGTAGTTGGAGACACACCTCGGGTCTTAAGCACTCTGATGGCGGGCCCATGCACCAAGATGTGTTTGATGTGCTCTGGTGATGAATGTGGAAGTCACTCACTTGACATCAATTAGGAGAGGTTCCTATGTGTATTAAAATAGGATCATTAGAATAAGAAGAGGGAAAATGTGACAACAGGCCTAATGAAGTGCAGTCTGCCGGCCTGCATATGGAGCGGGTTTCTAGGCTGTGCTGGCTTCAAAGCTGCCTTTGTAGAGGGGGCTTTGATTGGGCTGTGTGCTGCCAGTCGGCGGGGTAAATCAGATCGCTCTACAAGAGCCCCTTGTGATCGCAGAAATAGCCTGATGTGGCCCTAATTTGCTACTGCAGACGGACATCTGAACACAGTTTCAGGCTGGTTTGTAACAACGAGGCAATTAGTTGTGATAATCATAGCCGGTGTGTCAGCTGTGCGCTCTTGTTTGTAATTTGCTAATGAAGGAATTGTAACTTTGATTAGGTTCAGTTTCATTTAGACCTTATTATATAAGAGAACGTTTACAGCTGTAATGTGTGGCCTTAATTAAACTTCCTCATTACACAACAGGACTTGAATTCAAGGATTTGTTTTGGTCTGTTTTACTAGCCTAGATGCACTTTCATTAGCCCGGAAACTCAATGCTAAATTGTAGCTGTGAACACTCCTTTGAAAGGCAAAAGCAATACCGGCATCTAACGCGAGGTATTTGGATGAATGAGATAATTTACTTTCTCAAATTAAATTACACTGAATTCATGTGGTTAAGAACACCGCGCTAAGCGTTTGTATGGGATGCTTTACAAATAGTTTCTGTGATAGCATTTGCAAGTATTTACTTTCGTGTGAGTTACTGTGCTGGAGATAGCAAAAGTGCCAAGGGAAGGGAGTTTATTTTCTTCCCACGAGGCTGTTTCCAGTTTCTTTTGGTGGCTTTCCTGCCCTCCAGAGGGTCACTTCCCTCTCCTAATCTTTCCTCAGTCCACGCTTCATCTTGTCAGGTAACCCTGGGCCTCCTATTTGGGGGTGGGTTTATGTGCTCTGGGGGGTTTGTGGGTTTGGTAGGGTTCTTTTGGTTGTTTTGTGGTTTGTTTTGGTTTTTTTTTCTTTTTGGAAGTAAGGGGGAGATGATTTTTGTACCCTTAACTATTTGCAGTGATTTTCTTTCTTAAAGGCAGTTAAAAAGACCTTTTGGGACTATCAGGCAGCAAAAGTGCTGTCGTGTCTCTGAATGTCTAGTAGACAAATTTTAATCAAACACACTGCAATTCAGAAGAGCAGTTTGAAACCAGATAAGCTCAGTATTTGGCTCTGCCTTCAGGGGAGGAGATTCCAGGCATTTAAAACAAGCTGCAATTTTTTTTCGTACAGCTTTTGTATGGTACGAGATGGGTTAGACTGGCTGGAATTCTTTTGGGTAATGCTAATTAAACAAAAGTGTCTGCAAATGCAGCTGAGAATGTAAAACTGAGGAATACACTTTTCAATATTTATTCAAGGCATACATACTGTTCTTCTCTAAAATGCTGTTGTATGAAATTAATTTGATTGAAAATGCACTTGTAGGGAGAGTATTGTAAGATAAGCATTTTAAGTGTGATTGCACTATACCATGTTATAATGAAATATCCCCTACAATCTCTTGAATTTCTGTATTGAAAAATTCTCCCTGCAACCTCTACTTGTATACTGAGTATGGCCAATCTTTTGGGAATGCATACTTTCGTTATTAATCCCAATTATGGTAATTTCATTTTGTCACATACAAGCAATTCTCAGCAAATATTTGAGCAGGTCTGTAGTCAGCAGTTACATCCTATTCATCAGGGTTTTGAAAGGGTGCTAGAAGGGAGGTTGAACGGCATGCAGTGTTGTAGGATGGCTGCTGTCAGTGGTATTTCACATCATACTTACGTGTCAAGAGAGTGGATTTTGGACTTCATTGGTTTTCTACTTTAGATGGAGAGCTCCTATCAGTAGAGGCGGCACCAAGCTAAATTGCTGATATGCCTGTGTTCTTGGTGGACTCTACAGGTGCCAGACAGGTGGACGCTTCTCTGAGGCAGCAGAAATTCCTGCTAGAAAAGATGGTGTCTTTTTTTTATGCATTAACTGTGAATAAGACAGAGGGATGTGAAAAGAAACTTCTTGACCTAAAAGCTTTAGTATGTCATGCTACTGTGCTTCTTACAGTGAGAAGCCCCTTCCGTCACGCTATGTTTCTGTGACAAACGGTCAGGGTAGAGACAGAGAAATCTGTTTTCAGGAAGTTGAATGCAGATTGTAGTATTCACAATGTTGCTGTGGGAGAACCATCTTATACCATTAAAAGACTTTTCTTTTTAGTCTTTTTGTCACCATGTTTTCCAGTGTTTGTCCTCCTGTTAGCCCAAAGTCACATTGCTGCACTACCCCGTGCTAGAATCCAGAGTAACCTCCAGTTATATTAAACGCTCTCTGACTTCTTTAAGCTGCTGTTGAGCAAAATGCCTTTGCCAGCTTCATGCACATACTCTTCTACTATGTCTTTGGGACATCTTCAAAAACATGCAGTAACCAGGCCTTTTTCATATCTGTTGTCAGTACTTTGTTTTATTCTCTGTATGTTCTTATGTGCATGGCAGCAATATTTAAAAGGGCTGCTGGCAAGGCTGTGCTTCTGGTGCAAGGCAGAAGTCCAAGCTCATACTTGCAGATCAGTGCTTCGGTTGTGTTGGTTGAGCTTATTTGCAGATTTACCAATAAAAAAAAAAAAGTAACTTATGGTTGAAACTCAAACACAATGGATTTTGTGCTCTCAGTTCACTGCTACTTGAAAAAAAGGTAATTAAAAAAAAAAAAAAAACTTACTATTCAGATGTTGAAATCAATGGCTTGGTTATCCAGTGTATTTTATAGTGCCTGCGGGTTGTTCTTATCTACCCACGGTCTCCAAAAAATCAAATGCTATTTCCTAACTTAAAACCAAGCCAAAACAACCCCAAAATAAGAACAAAAGAAAACCGCACAAAACCAAAGCAAGTTCACTGGAGATCAGAAATGTTCTGGTTTTGAGAAAAAAAAAGAAATCTGAGGTGCACATGAAAGGTGGGAGGAAGAGCTGATATTAGTCAAGTATGATTGTGTGTGGTGAGGAGAGCACAGAATAAATGTGTGAGAAGTCAGCTCTTGAGGAAGCGTAGATAATGTGATGACGAGGAGTTTGTCATTGATCTCAACTACTTTTTTTTCATAGATCAGGTCTGTATTGCAGCTGTTGAACCAACATAGCTATGGTTGATGTCTGTCATCAAAGTGATGCTTTTGTATACTTGGAGACAGTTTAAACTGGTAGAGGAGTGGGTTTTTTGTAGGGGCATTTAATTTCTCTCCTGGTTTCCCTCTAAATGCACTTAAACATCTTGTGAAGTGAGTGAGCTATGATGGCATAAAGAGTTGCTTATAATTCTGTATCACAGCCTTTCTGGGGACCCAGATACCGGCCTGCATGGCTGCTAGAGTTTGGTTTGGTTTTTGGTTGAAAGAAGCCAAGAGTTGCAACCTGCTTCTGAATTTCGGTTCTCTGTCCCTGAATTCCTGGGGCTTTGGGGGAAATAGGCAAGGTTGTAAATGGCATGTTTCCTTCCAAGGAAGCACCTCACTCCTTCAGGGCTTTTTCTTTAACTTAAAGCAATCTGGTCGAAAGGGGTTAATGTTCTTATTCTTTCTGTCCTTTCTAAATGTTAAAAATCACTTTTCACTGCAGCGCTAAATATGGTTTTATTGGTCTAAGCCATATAAAACTGTTCTGACGAACCTTCTTGCTCCCAGCAGAAACCCAAAATGTAGGCAATGAAAACCAGGTTTGTTTTTTAAAATGTGGCTGCTAACTTCTGCCAAAATACTCTAAGGTGAGTGAAATTTTGGGAAGGCCAGTTTCCCCAGGGAAGTACAAACACCTTCTGCATGCACAGCAGTATCAGCATGCCTTAAATCCTGTGCTCTTAGCATCCTTTGAGAACTATGAATGCCATAATTTTCCAAAAAGAAAAAAAAAAAATCTCACTTCTGAGCTGTTTAAATATCTTCTACTAATCAAATGGAGTCAGAAAATATCTGGAACAGTATTTGCCCAAAGTTAAAATCCATAGAAAGTTCTGTACTTCTGAGAAAGAGGCAGTTAAACTAAAAATATTTAAGCTCTCTTCTGTAGCATTTCTCATACTACCCTTAAAGCAAACTTAGTGTGAATGGCTTATGCTGTTTGGAGTATCCTCTGTTCAAAACCATTTATTCTGAAAACAAAGCCTTGTTCTTGGTAGCCTGAGTGAATATTTTGAAAAATGTATTAGGCTGTACAGTTTAGGGTGACATACTTTCTGAGATGGGGGGTGTTTGTAGAGTTTTGGGAAGATAACTTTGTTTTCTGTGGTCTTGCTAAATCTTTATCAGCAGGGCATATTCAAATAAAAAAAAAAGCACAACAAGAAAAATAAAAGCAAGAAGCTCAGCTCAGCGGTGAGTGGGCTTGTCATGTATTAATTTTTCATTGCTGTGGAGAATTGTACATACATAATCACTTGATTGCAGTGGGAGTTAGCGAGCTCCTATGGTGTCATTTGCATAAATCTTGTTAAGTCAATGGCAGTTAATGAAGTACAAATGAGCCTGGAGAAGGTGACATGCAAATCGTGGGTGGCAGATGGGAGGTCTGTTTTTGGGATGGCAGCTGTGTGCTCTTTCTTCCCCCCCCCATCCCCCCCAGATTAGAGTGTAAATAAATACGTAAGAGCTGGCCTTGACTTTGTGCTTTCAGACCTTCTTCTATTTGCCATTTGCACTTAATCACAGATGCTCATATTATTATATGGTCCAACTATGTAACCTTGACTGTTCTTTTGCCAAAAACTGGTCAAAATAGATTTTGACAGGTTGCCTCAGCCCTTGGCTTACCCTGGGAGGTGC